GTGATGAGGTCAAAAGAGCAGGATAAATGCAATGTCATCACTTGGGTGCCTATTTATTCCACTAATACATTTGCTGCACAATTACCACAACCGATCCAAAGGGAAGGAGGAGGAGGAGGAGGAGGAGAGGGTCTCGCCTGTAAAAAAGGAATCACTCTCTTCCTCCTCTGAAGTTATTCCAACATGCCGAAGCAGATGGGCACTTTCTGACATGGCTTGGCTACACTCCTGGGCTGGCACTCCCAGCTGGAGAGTATCAATTTTCCACATAGCAAACATAGAAAACTCCAACTCTTTCTTTGCGAGTAGAGGACTGTGGAGGGGAGGAACATCACAAAGCTGATTACCACCCAAGCTTGCTTGATGTTACCCTTTCAGAATTGAACGGAGTTGTGAAGTACTTCATTATTGTTCTAGCAAACTCAGCCCCGCAGACAAATACAGCACCACACAGTCCTTCCAAGCATGGATTTCATCGAGGGTCTCTTCTTCTCTGTGCTCAACAAAAAAGCAGCAGCCTTCCCTTTGAATTTAGCTGAGATCAGCATTGAGCTTTGTAGCCTCGGCATCTCTCCCCACGCTGCTTCTCATTTCCCTCTCCAGGCTCTTTACAAGCCCTGGATAAAAACTCTCAACAGCATTAACAGAAGAACACAAGCCACAAGACACCCTGCCTGGGCAGGGGGTAAGCAGGAGGGGGTGGGGGGATGCAGAGACTGCAGGAGCCTGGCATTTGCGGAAAGCAGGCTCTATTAAAGACTTCTTCCAATTCACAGAACCCCCAGCACATCCTGTTGAGTAATCCATCCAACCTGACTGGTCAGGGATTTAATGGGAAAGAGGCCCTTGATATCATTTATCCTCCCCCATCAGCTGAAGCAGCCCCCGTGGCTAATGCTGCAACAGCAGTAGTACTTAGCTGCCAAAGCAATATGTCAGCGCAGGAAAGTGTTCTTCTGCAGACGCCAGGTAACCCTCTGCCTTCCTCCACAGTCCCACTTACTGAGACAGAAACCTGGGCCCCTGAGAGTGCTCCCCCAGTCTCCCAGGCCTGTGGAGAGGCTGGATAAAGGCTTGTGTCCAGGCTCATCTCTGTTTTTATGTTAGAAACACTCCAGCATTTTAAGAGATTCTGTCCCCTTCTGCACACCCGCTTCTTCTGGACACTCCTTGCCTTGCCTCTCTGCCCTACCACTAGGATATTCTGCATGATCATTTAGACCTATGTGTATAAGCTGTTATCAGATAGCAGCCCTTTACATCTGGGTTGCACAGGTGTTAAGTAACTACATATAGTATAGACACTGAAGAAGTAGGGCGTGTTTCTATCAAAATATACTTCCAGGCTTGTACACATCATGTTTATAGAAAGAGCAGCTGCAAGGCATTCATCCCTGCACCACTGCAAATTATTTGAATCCTGTGTAGAGTTAATTCAGGGAAAATGAGAGGTAAGATGACACCTGTATAAATTACATAGGTATAAGTGTCATGCATCCACAACTGTATCAAGCTGGTTGTTTTCTATAGGCAAACAGGCTATTACTTGCTGCCCTGTCACCAAGAGTTGAGCTATTGTAACATCACTTACTGTGAGCATTTATTACCCAGATAGCTGCTCATCTATCCATTCTGGATACTGGCATATTTTACATTTGTCACAAAACGGATGACAGTTCCACTAACCTATCTACACTAATAGCTAGGGTTGTGAACCTAGTGACTGGCTCTGATCTTCCTCAAAGTCTGAGTCTTCTGGGTGGCAAAGTTTTGATCCAGGCTCCTCTCTCCTGGAAAGCAAATTGCCTCAGATTCATTCCTTGCCCCTTTTACAACAGCTAATGGCTCCTAACAGTGAAAGGGTTTTAATTATATAAATAAATCCATAGGAAGCAAGGGAATGAGAAATCAGTGGAGCCCAGGGAGCTATGCCAGAGCTGGAATCGTTTGCCGCAGGAGGTGAGGCTGGGTGTTGGGAGCCATGAATAGCTGTGTGCCAGAAAAAGAACAGCACACAAAAGCATCAAAGAGACATGATTTACAAAGAAAAAAATCCATTAGAAAGGTAGGGCAGGGGAATGAGGAGCCCAATTGTTAGTAAAAGTTCTGTTACTGCCAGAGGGGCAGAGAGGCAAGCAGCACGGGCTAGGGTAACCCCTAATAAATGTTATCATTGACCTGTTTTATACAAGGGGCTACAGTTGTGCCTGTAAAACAGGCTTTGTTGCAGAGATCTTGCTACTTGATGAAATGCAAATGCAGGACTCAGAATAGCCTGCTAAGACCTGGTCATAGAAAGATGGGGCATTGGAAAGACCAACAATATCAGACTATACACACAAGCTGGCAGCATGGAAGGCTTTAGTGACCCACAGAAAATGCAAGCTCTTTGCACTTGCTATCCTGAAGCTGTATTTCAACCATCACATTTGTCCCTGTATTTTATTTTTATGCTGAAATGCCCAGTTTAAAAAGACAAGAGACTCGTGAACTACTGTACCTGCAGCTGCAACATCCCATGGAGAAGCACGGAAGGAAAAAAAAACAAGAGAGAGGGATAATTAGATCCTGCAAATAAATGATGCAAAGAAAAGCACTGGGTCTGATCCAGATAAAAGAGGCTGGAGCTAAGACTATCCTTTATGTTCTATGTTCCCCATTATGATACAAAAGACCATTGAACTGTATGTTAAAAGAAGGACAGCACAGTTTTGGTCCAGTTTCAGGTGAGAAGTAGCAGAATACAGGATTACATCATGAGCTCAGATCTAACCTAGGTTAGCAGTGTGTAAAGATTGTTACTAGCTGAAGGTGAGAGTTGGGATTGTTCGATAGATGGTACTGGACTGGACATAGAAGACCTGGTTCTAGTCCCATTTACTGACCTGCTATGTGACCTTGGACAGGTAACACCAGGTTCTCTGCTTTGGCTCTGACCCCGTGTCCACCTTGTCTATTTAGGTTGTAAAACAGGACTTGATTCTTACCATGCATGTTGGCACAACAGGGCTCCAATCTTGGTTCATGTCCTTACACACTGCTATGACACAAGTAGTGGCAAGGGAGGTGTGCAAACAGTTGACACTGTCAACTCAGTTCCACAAAGGAAATTATGAAGACCGTAACCATTTTAACTGCAGGAAGCTGACTAGTTCAGCACAATGCCTCAAATGTCCTTTCTGTCTCACTTTGGCTAATCCACATCCTTAAAAATATTCCTTCTGGATATTAGGAACATAGCTGTTACCACACCAGATCTAACGTGAGGGCCCCTCTAGTCCAGTATCCTGTCTGGCAGGGGCCAGCACCAGCTACTCCCAAAAAGGGTACAAGAAACTCCAACAGGCTGGTTGTCCACACAGTAAGTTTTAGAACAATGCATCAATCGTTATTACTCCCATGACTCCTACATAGGCCAGTGGGAGAAATGGAGTAAATGTCTCTTCAGGTCTTTCCAGGCTCTGCTTTTAAGGAGTGTAGCTTAATTTATAATCTCTTCAGAAGCCTCCATTGATGCCAATGGGACCATCACTTAGCTCTCTATAGTCTGGACACACCAGTGAGGGCACCTACCTTCCAAATGCTGGCTTCCTTCCCGTACACCACTGCCATGTTGCTTACTTTGTTGGACTTGATGAACTGCTTCTCAGTCTCGTTGAGCTCCTCAGACACAAAGCCCATGAAAGAGTTGTCAGGAGTGTGGGCTACAGAAACCAAGGGGGGAAAAGAACCCCTATGTGTTAGACTTGTGCTAGTGCAGAGAGGGGTCTTCCACAGGCCACCACCTGTCTGCCCAAAGCCTGTGTCCCATAACCTGGCCTCACTGGCATTCCCCATGGAGGTTACTTGTACTGGAGAATGGGGCTGTAACCCTAATTCATGGAGAAGGTAAACACAGTTCCCAGTGCTTGTTCTGTGCTAATAGGAATTTAGCTATTGAAGGTATCCCTGGTGTTATTTGGGTGCAGAGGATCCCTCAGCTGAAAGTCCCTATTTCGCCCCGGCTGGACTCAGGATTCCCTCCTCCAACACTTTTCTTCCTGGTAACAGCTATGCTGGAAAGGGCATGTCCATCCGACTGTGGATAAGGATGTGAAGACTCCCAGCTCCAGGTGAGTGCCTTAATCATCAAAGTGTCTCTGTCAGCCCAGCCATCAGCACCTCCCTCTGCACAGAGGCAGGGAGAGGAACACAGGAATGTAAGAAGTGTCAGACTGTGTCAGCCATCTAGCCCAGTATCCTGTCTCTGACTTGGGCAGAAGTGGATGCTATAGAAGGAGAGCGCTGAACCAGACATATCTAGAGTGATCTATCCCCTGTTCAGTACCCACTCTGGCATCCATCATCTATTGGGTTAGGAGGTATTGGTGTTAGATATGCTCAGTAGGGAAATGTGGGCCAGGGCTGATCTGAGGAATGAAATATTGGGAGGCATTAGAAATGAGGCAATGGTGTAGCCCTTAAGGGCCAATGTTTCAGTACCACAGAAACACTTTGCAAAAAGCAAAGAGGGTCTAAAGGGCTCCAGGAGTGAGAGAAAAGAAAAAGCAAACAGAAGCTATTAAAATATGTGATATGAAAACTGTCCGCAGGTCTCTCTAAAATATAAGGCACTTCCTAGACTGCCAAATAGATTATATCCAGCCAGGGGGTAGAAAATATTTGAGTCACTGCATGTATAATGGGTCACCAGGCTCAACTGAGATGAGCAAAACTCCTTTCCACTTGACGGGTTAGTGGATAAATTGAAACTATAGCCCCTTTCTTGAAACCAGCTGCCTGTCTCCAAACTGGAAATAAGACTTTTCTTGGAGAAAAATATCTGGTGTTTCACATCCCCGCTCAACTCCCTATTTGCTTGTCATTTCCAAAAGCTGGTTTCACTTTCTGAATCTCCCCAGATCAAACTGTGGCTGCCAAGAGCTAAAACTGGGAAACATATTTCAAAGCTTTTCTTCCTGGGGAATACCCCAGTGAATCCCACCCATCCCATGAAAGGATTTGTTGCCATCACTGGGGTGGGCACACATGAGAAAGAAGTGAAGCTAATCAAGGCAAAGGCTGGGATGGTCTCTATGGTTAAGGCACTGACCTAGTAGCGCTCATGTCTGGCCTTGCCACAGGCTCCCTTGTGGGGGAGTGCTTTCATTTCTTCATTGCCAGCACTTGCCAGCAGAAGTTCTGGTAGTAGAAAGGGGCCACCCCCAGCCCAGGTGCCCAACCATTCTCTTCTGGCAGCTCCACACAGCCCCACTGCAGCAGCTATGGGGTCAGAGTGTCAAGTGCTTTCTGGGAAGGTATTCATGGCTGAAGGGACCACGGCAGCATGCAGCAGGCATAGAAGTGTTCGCATGTGCCTTTTGCTAGGTGCTGGATTGCAGCAGAAGCCTCCTCTCACATGGGAGCAGTGGTGTCACTCAGCAGGTCAGGCAGGCTGGATCTGCTGGCACTAAGGAGCTTTAAGTATGGATACACTCAGGATCCTCCTGGCAGAACCAGGCCTGGGCCTCAGTTCCTTCCTTTGCTTATTTAGGCTGTAAGATCTTTGGGAGAAGGACTGTCCTCACTTTGTGTTTATATGGCACCTGGCACCACAGGCCTCTGATCTTAATGGAGACCTCCAGGCCACTGATAAGGCAGGCAAAGAAGTTCATTCCCCAGCCAGTGGGCAGAAAAAAGTGCCCTTTTCCACTTTAACAGAACTCGCTGATATTTTGCTCACGGAAAACAAATCCTCCAGCCTGATGTTACTTCTGCCACATTGATAAATCCCTTCTTTCCAGCTTTCTGCCCCTCCCACCACCTCCTCTCTTTGAGTTTCTGGTACTAAAACCCCTGCTGTTGCAGGAGGAGTGATTGGGTAGCTGAGCTTCTCTTGGGACTGCTCCCTGCAGAATCTCTGGGCTGACAAATCACCGTGTCACAGCAAAGTCCTTCACTGCCGAACACTGGGAGGAGGGGAGCAGCTGGGGCAGGCTGAGAACATAATTAGCGAAACAGTGGGAGTGGGACAGAAAAGAATTAAAGCTAATTAAAGTAACAGGGCCCATTAAGCAGGCGTTTCCTTAGGGCATGCTGTCAAGGTTAAGGTCAGATGGAAGCAGCATATATCCCATTCAGCATGCTTGGGAAACCAGCTTTGAACTGAAGTACATGGTAAGGAGCTTGGCATTGCTTTTATGGCACAGTCTGAGCATAGCATGAAGAGGGGGATTATTTTCTGGCTCTGTTCCTCTTTAGTGGATCTTCTGTGCATCCCCTTACTTTAGGCGAATGGGTATTGCAGCCTCTACAGTTCTAGATGAGACTGCAAAGATCTGCTCAATGGCATGCCTCAGCTGGACAGAAAGGGGTGTTTTTGGCCATATGAAGCACTCACTCCCCAAGTTTGGACATGCCAGTGTTTGCCCATCCTTTCCCAGGCCCTGCCGGTGTAGAATGGGGAGCCAGAGTATAGGGGGCTGAGATGCACACCCAGGTATTAGTTGCTCCCTGGTAATTGTTTACAAATTAAAATCAGGAGGCCCCTCGAACTGGAAATAAGATACCAATTGTACCTAAAAATGAACTGGACATATCTGAGTTTCTTGTTTGTGGCAACCAGCACAAAGAGGAGAGTGAATGTAAATTTCTGAGCACTAAGAAATAAGAGCTGCTTTCCTTCAAATTATTCTAGTCTCAGGACCTTCTTCCTGTTCCAGTGCAGCTGACTTATGGGGGGTGGAGGAGGATGCACGGGTGGGCTAGGGATGGTATGGTTGGCAGGCTGATGCCCAAGAGTGGTTAACAGACACCCTAGACACTTAATTGCATATTCCCATTGTGTTCACTGGCCTGGATCTGACAAGATGATCTGCAATTATCAAACATGCAAATACCAAAAAAATCCTCCTGGGATCAAAGAATTAAACAAGCCATCACTTACGAAACATCGTCATGAACTGCTTGGGGTTCAGGTTCCAGTACCCCCAGTTCGTCCGGTAGCCGTGCAGGGTGGCATACTCTTCATGATTGTAAGCTGGCTCTGTCCCAAAGGTATCAATGACCCGAACACGGCACCTGTCCAAGCAAGATAACAATGGTTATGTTTCACTTCTATTCTCCAAACAAAGAGTATCAACCCATGAGATCCATCTTCCACCATCCCAGGACCAAGATGTTGTTAGAGCCACTGTGGGCTGGGGAGATGAGCATTTAGTAGAATTACTATTTTAAAAAGGATTAATGGGTCTTGCAGTCCAATCCATTAGAAGGCAGATCCTTCATATCAATGACCAATGACTGGCTTGAACATCCATGTGGTGAGTCAGAGAAGCCTTCAGTGCCCCTGTGAAAACTTCCTGGGATGATACAGAGGCAAGGTAATGCTGCCTTGGGGCAATGCTATGTGTCTGAACCCCAGAGGCCAAAACTTTGTTCAAGTTTGTGCTGCCTTGCTGCCCAATGGCCAGAGGCCTGGAAAAGATCAGCGCTATTAATGCTGAAGGTACAGTGGGATTTAGGCTTGTTAGTTCAGGTGAAAGGATGTTGACAACAATGGTTAGAGCTGGGTTTGATGCAGAAGGCAACTGCACAAGATTTGCCCCAGCGACTCTGCCAATGCAGACCAATGGTGGTGAGAAGAAGTCTATCTGTTCCAGTCCTAGGTGCCACACATTGCTGCCATCATACTTGGATTGGCAGTGCCCCACTGGATATCTTGTGGCTTTTAAGTACACCCTTTGGGTAAAGACAGTGCAGACCTGCATTGCATCCATGTGAGCACCAAGGCACTGTGCTTGCCCTTCCATGCAGGGCAGAATGCCCCAGGTACTACCTTTTTTGAGGTGTGCCTTGTGACATCTCCTGTCACACCTTTGGGTGACTTGCACCCTAAAGTTCAGGAGTACTGGATGTTGTGCTCAGGAGAGCACAGGGCCCCAATTACAGCTGCACTTAGCCTGGCAAGGGATGGAGTCAATGGGGGAAGGCCCCTTGTAGAGCTCCAAAGACAAAGACCCCAGTCTCAGCTCCTACTGATCCAAGCCTGGTCACCCCACATCTGTCAATGCACTTTGGTCCTGACTCTGGGCATGAGCTGACACCCACCTCCAGGCAAGAAGATATTTGCTCCCATATTAAGAAGCACACTGTCAGGGCTTCTGGTCAGTCAGACCCAGACAAGCTAAGCTCTTGAGCTACCACACCTGACCTTGATCCCTGGCCAATGCGGCTACCCCAGTTTTTCATAACTAGATTGGCTGCTGAGAGCACCAACTCATCCCTTTTAAGTAGATCTGCAGCCTCAGACAGCAGGCACGCCTTGACGAGTGTCAACCTGGTCCAGCAAGTCTCACGTTCACTGCTTTCTCTGGTTCTCCTGGCTACTGAATTGGCTTTGGCTTTGGCTTTTCCTCACCCTGATCTTAGATCTTCCTTGGAACTCAACACCTGGCTCTCTGATTTTCCTGGTGTTTGATCTTGGTTTGCACCCTGGACTACGTCTCTTGGATCTCCTGGAACCTGGTCCCACATCCTCTGCTCTGCTGATCCAGGCCCTGACCTGATGCCTCAGTAACCAGTACCCTACCTGGATGACCTCTTGGTTGCCCTGCAGGGCCTACCCACAGGCCTGGCCCCCTATGTCCTGGCTGAACCCTCACATACAGTTAAATGAAAGATAAAGCTTGTACACTGAGCCATATAGGAAATTCTTAACTGAATACATCAGCTCCTGGAAATATCTAGACAGTTAGATCACTGATCAGCGATTACAAGTTGTGATGATGTATTGTTTCCATCATGGCTGAGTATATTTGTTGGCTAAGTCTATCAGATAGAGTCCTGAGAAAACCAGTGGATTGTATCCCTCCTACTGAAACAGATGAATGAGGTTTCTTCACTACATCAGCTGCTGTTCTTTTAACTCACTCAGGAATTAACTTGTGGAATTCAGGCTCACAAGATATGAATGAGGCAAAGAATTTTGTGCATTTCCAAAAAAAACCCAAAAACCAAAAAACCAAATCTCTCCAGATGTGTATGTGAATAATAGGAGTTAAGAACATTTTACATCTTCTCCTGCATTATCTAGTAATGGTTAGAGGTAGGACACCAGACTGACTAAACCATTGTTCTGATCTGCTATTGTATTTCCAATCGACACGATGCAATAACTCAACCCAGTTAGGAACCTTTGATATTGGCCCTGGTCAAGATGGATGGTCAAGATGGATAGTCATGCATGGCCTTTGCATGACAACACCTTTGTTTCCACAAATCTGAGATTCAAATCTAGGTTTTGCAATTAGCAATTTATATTGTTCCTACAAAGAACAGGCCCTGGGCAACATCCAGATGTCCCAAAAGGAAAGCAGGAAGCAAAAACCCAGGTCAGTGTTTAGCAAAGAAGGAAGGATGTATTTTCAATGTCCCTTCTGGAAAAGAAAAGGTTCACTTGACTCCCTCCTTGCAAGTAAACCAGGTTCCTGTTCAGGTCTTTCATTGGCCCGACATGTTCAAAAATGTTATACATCTTCTGGAGACATTTTAATGTTTTCCCCCATATTCCAGGAATACTGAGGCAGGCATTACCATGGTGAGGGAGACGGAAAATAGGGAAAGTGGAAAAAGAGAGAGGATGGGAAAAAAAAAGCCCAAGCTGAGCATACAGAGTAGACGCATGTATAATAAAAGCAATAACGCTGCCTGTCATTTTTCTCTCTAATAAAATCATGTAGGATAGTGGAAGGAATGGGAGAAAACATAATAAATAGCCAGGACTATCAGCACTAAATTAAATCACATATTTTGCTGGCTGCTGCTATGTCAGGGAATGGGGACATTTGTCTCTCTCAGTGCTGAAGAGGAAAGGAGGAAATGGACTTGGGAACGCGGGCCTCTTTCTTGCGAATGCAAAGAGGTCTCTCTGCCTTTTGTGGCAGATCACACCTGCAGAGTGGCAAACATATTATTTAGAGACACATGCATACGCACACACAAGAAGTCCTCCCTGAGACTATTTGCCTCCCCAGCACAGAGCCTTATAATTAGTTTTTGTTTTAAGGTAGGGTTTGAGAGCCTGTTCTCCCTCCTTCCCAAGCAGATCTCAGCACGTTATGACAGCAGCTGGGAAACAGTGTGGAGGCAGTTCACTGGGCAATTTACCAGCTGTCAGAGCTGTGCACATAAACAAGGCTGGAAACAAAGGGCCCAACTCTTTAGGATGTGCTGGAGATCTGCTGCAGGCCAATTGGTAGAGGAAAGGAAAGGTGGCATGGCCAGGGGAATCTCAGTGCATCTTGCTGCAAGATGGCAGGGAATCTGCTTTCACATTCTGGCTGAGGTGAGGCAGCCTGCAAGTCTAATCTGTGCCTCATGTCCTGTATAAAACTCCCAGACACCTGCACATGGGCAAGCCCAGTTGACAGTCCTGCTTGAAGGACAGGGAGAGACTGATGCTAGAATAGAATCCAAATTGAGGGGAACTGGCAGAGTTATATCCCATATACTGAAATAACCACATGTGGAAATCCATCGACACAACTGCACACTGAGATCTACAAAGCCCCTGGCAAGAACGTACCTCAGTCTGTCTACACCTATTTAACCCCAATGAAAACAAAGCAGTAATTATATAAAGGAAGCCTCTGAAAGGAAGAAAGTGGTTTTTCTTACCTGTATTTTTTAAAGGAGAGCCCCATGTGTTGCTTCATTTGCTGTAAGCCATGGTAATCAGTGTAAATGAGGTCAAAAGGCAAAGGGATCGTCAAGGGGCAATTGCCCCGTCCAGGAGGCACCCCTAAATTGCTGAAGAGAACAGGGAAGATCTGATCAGCCATTGAACACAGCCAAAGCCCTTTTGCTCACTCTACAAAGTCAACATTCATTTTCCTACAAAGTGTTTTAAAGGGACCATCCTTCCCCTCCTTCAGACCAGCCTGGAACTCCATTCTCGCCATGGGGAGATATCAGGGCTGCCCAGGGCCTCCATCCTTGGATTCCCACCGGCTCGTCTCTGCAAGTGACTGTCTGGGTAGAGCTGTCTGCTGTGATGTCGGCTAAGAACCACTCTGACTTTGAGGCCTTGGAATGCACACTTAATTATGCAATTTAGATGCTGTTTCAGTGGTGCACCAGCTTCCCCTGCTGGACAGGCAGGGCAGGGGACTAGGGCTGCGTGAAGCTTTGGTCCCTGATTCAACTTGGCATACGTTCGTTCCAATTAAGTGGCCAAATCTCCAAATCTGAATCGAATCAGAGGACTCGTTAATCTTTCCAAATTGATTC